GCAGCACTGAGTCGGTTCAGTGGGAGGCCACCGCGAGTCATTGTAAAAGGCCAGATATGCATTCAATCACCTCAAACGAAGTTAAAAATTGAAGTCGAATGCATGGCGCATCCCTCAGGGATTGATCAACGCCGAAAGCTTTATCCTTTATCCTTTATATATATATATATATATATATATATATATGTACATACATACATATGCGAATAGGAATGCTTGTGGTGCAGTGGTTAGAGGTGCTCTGCGCGCCACATAAGGTCCGTATTTCGATCTCGCGCTCAAGACTCACCAAGCCACTCAACCATCCGGAGTCGGTAAACTGGTACCAAACTGGTGACAAACTTGTCCGGGAGGATGAGCTGCACTGACTCAATACAGGGGAGGCCACCACGATTCACTGTAAAAAGCCAGATATGAATTATCACCTCAGATGAAGCCAAAAATTAGAGACAAATGCATGGCGCATTCTTCAAAAATTGATCAACGCCGATAGCTTGATCCTTTTATTCATTTCTTATGCATATATATATATGTGTATATATATATATATATATATATATATATATCAACACTTTGGATTAACATTTTTGAAACCTCGTTGGAAATCAATACATCCTGACAGCATAAACTGATCCTTTCATAATGTCTATTATGGCAATGATAAAAATGAAAGCTAAAAGATAAATCTTTTGGTGTTTATCAATCTCTGGAAAGGCGCCATGCATTCGTCTTCAATTTTTAATTTCGTTTGAGGTAATGAAATGCATATCTGGCCTTTACAAAGACTCGCGGTGGCCTCCCGCTAAAGCGAGTCGTGCTGCTTATCTTCCCAGATAAGTATGAGACCGGTCTGGTACCAATTTTCCAACGTCGGAGGATGGATGACTTGGTGAGCCAGGAGCTTGAAGTCGAACCACCGAGCCCGTGTGCAACGCAGAGCACCTCTAAACGCTGCGCCACATGCTCTCCTATGGCAATTATACAAGTTTAAAATATGCTTCCAGGGTGCACTGGTTCTATGCAAGGTCTCAAGATAGTCGATTGAAAGTGTTAATGAAATGTATATATGATTAGCCAAGCAAACAACAATCGACAACCCCTAACTCCAAATGTACACCAAAGTGATCGTTTCATTGTACACAGAGTGTAAGTGATTCGACGCCGATCTCTTAATATGTGGTAGGAGGGAGAGGGATTGGGGTATGTAGCTCTACAAGGAACTAACTGAACGAAGGGCACTGTGCTAGTGATGAAGCCGAAAGGCCGAAACACGTGTCTAGCACATTATGAGTGACATAACAGACCTCACGAAAGGTTTGGAACATGCTGTCAGAATGTATTAATTCATGGTGAGGTGTCGAAATAGTCAAATGAAAACGCTACATTATTTTGTCACTTTAGTCAACCTGTGGGGCGCCATGGCCGAGTGGTTGTGATGCTCGTCACGCGCGCATGGAGCCGACTTCCACTCCGGACGCTTTCAGGCAGTCAACAACAACGTCTTATGGAACGCCACAGCTATGCTATCCTCGAGATTGCAAAGAGACTCGCTCAACCAGTACTCTACGACGATCAAGAAGAAGACAAAAAACGAAATAAATGCTAGAAGTACTGGAATTTGCACAGTGAAAAAAAAAACGCTGTGAAGACGGATCAATAAAGTGTCAAAGTGAAATTGACTAGTCCCATAATTTTTCTTCTGGTTGAGGGTTTTTCTTCTTCATGAACGTTGCAGACTACTGGTCAGGTAAGTCTTTGTAATATGAGTATGATGAGTTTGAGGCGTTGCGTAAGGCGCACGTTAATGACTCCCGGAGTGTTGGAGATGATGGAGATGAACCCTGCATCGAGCTGCTCCTGGTCATTAGCCACTCGGCACCTGCCCCAAAACGTTTCAAATCTAGACAATTACAAAAACCCTAAACTAAGTCAACAACCAAACCTGCTAGGTTGTCTCCTGACTGTAAAGGTTTGCAACTGTGCGCCACCAACCCACACAAAACTAGTACAGCACCATCGAGAACTCGTAGTGCTCGCCCCATTTCCATGATTAAATCCACATGAGCTTAAAGTTGAAGCGATTAGCAATAATCAGCTAACATGAGCAAAAACTTAGCATTGTGTTGAGAACGAATTTTTAAGGACATTTTTCCACTAACCCTTTGAGAACGAAATGCACCGCTTTTAGCCTTCGATTATTCAAAAGACTTTCTCGCTGGACAACGCTTTTCAATTAGCCTTTTAATAGTCATTCGGTAGCTTGAAAAACAACAATTTCAAAACCGGGTTTGGTTTCTAAAAGGCTTTTTAATGCTTGTAGAAGCCAAGAGAAGATTAGAATTGGCACTCGAAGTGACTAGGTCGTTGTTTCCATTACACAGATGACTTATCTGAAGATATGAAATGAAAAAACAAGTACTCAAAAAAAGATAGGAAGAAGTCTCGTCTACAAATCAAGTGAGTTCTTCATTCCTAAAATACATAGATAACCGAAAAATTGTTGAAAATTATCGATGAACTGAGAGCTATCGATAAATCGAACGGAGGAGGTCCTCGATCGATTGCGCACAGCGGCAATCGTCACTTAAACTACAATATCTCCTCTGCTATAAAAAAAAAACTCTAGGGTTTCTGTGACGCTAATACTCTGTGATTTTCTCTACACGGCCATTTATTGGGGCATATACTCTCACGTAAAAATAGAACTCCAGGGGTGAAACGCAATGATCTTTTCGTGCTTACAGTGATCTATGATTGCTTTTGTGAGAGCCAAATCGAGTCATAGAATTACTGAGATTTTTTTCGATCGATAAGTACTTGAAGTCCGGTGAAAAGTCAAGGACGAACCTTAGCCGTGCAGACAAAGCATGTCCAAAGTGAAACGTAATCTTCTCTTCGTTGCTACAGTACAGAGGCAATAAGAAGGCCTCTTCAGAAACGTACATCGTACTGAGTTCTCCTATTTTGAAGATGCCGAATGATTACTAAAAATCTGGCACAAATGCTGGGTCCAGCGAGAATTCAAGAAAGGTCACTCCTACGGAATGCACGCCGCCTCAGATGGTTAAGCAAACAATTCGGTGGCCTTTTCATTCTTCTAAAGAAAAATACACACAATTCTTTCTAGAATTTAGAAGAGAACGAAGGACAAGTGACCATGATTTGACCAGTGGATAACTCATAATCAGAGAACTTGGACGACTGAAAGAAAAAGGATGAACTCTCAGTGCTTATCAATCCTTGAGGGATGCGCCATGCATTCGGCCCTATTTCCAGCTTTATAGAGGGATGCAAATCCCTGGCCTTTACAATGACTGCAGTGGTCTACCAACGAACATGCTAGTAATTCCGTCCTCCCAGACAGATCTGGCACCGATTCACCAACTCGCCAGGAATTGAAGATTGGTGAGCCTTGAGCGCGGGATGGAACCAACGACCATGGAATGGCCGATCACGTGTGTATGTCGCAAAGCACCGCTAACCACTACGCCCCCATGGCCATTTTAAAAAAAAATGGCAAAAAAATGTTAGAGAGGGGAAGATGGGCAAACTTCTAAGTAGCACTCCACCATCTCCAAAATTCATTTTATCAAATCTGTACAGCTAATCAAAACGTTAAAAAAAAGGTTAAAATCCAAACTCACCTGGAGAATCAATTATGCTTGTTTGTTCCATGCCAATCAATATAGAAAGCCTCCGATTGGATAGTGATACCACGTTGCCTCACCAGCTCCATGAAATCCATGGTGACACCAACATCGTTTCACCACCAACCTCAACACTCGAATCTTCAACAGATGAGTTGGCCGTAGTGGAAAGGACAAAACAACGTAAGGAACTGAACTTAAAAACTGTCATTTTCTTTGAATAAAACTTCCACGAGGTTGGTATTTCTCTCATCAAAATCGATTGCCAAGGCTTCGGCGATTACGTCTTTCTCAGAGCCGCTAAGTTACTTATGTGGCAAGTACATGGTAACTTAAGAGCGAGTGTGGTGCAGTGGTTAGAAGTGCTCTGCGACACACACGTGGTCGATCATTCGATGCTTGATGATTCAATCGCGGCTCACCAAGCATTTTATCCCTTCAGTGTGGTATATTTATAGCAGACTTATCTGTGAGGATACCAGCACTGACTTGTTAGGCCGGTAAGTTATAGCGAGTCATTCTGACGGTCAAATATACAATCAGCTGTCTCTACGAAACTGCGATTGGAATCGAATGCATGGCATTACTAGGTATTGATCAAGGTCGAGAGTCCCATCCTTTTAGCTTTAGTGGTAACCGAGAAGAACGTGGAATAGCCGAAACATCAGCCATCGACTTTGAAGGAAGAAATACCAAACTCGTGGGAATTCTATTCAAAGGAAATACAGGTTAAGAGATATTTTTCTGCTACTGATGCCGCAGTTTGGTGAAGGTCGATCTTTCCATCTGCAGTATAAAAAAAGATAATCGCAAACACAGCTTGGAAAAAAAAACTACCTCATGCATTGAGTCGATATTTCCAGTATAGGAAAGAATTCTCTCTGTTACCGTGATTTTTCCAGAATCGATATGAGCAGAGATACCTGAAAAAACACGACGACATGGCCACAGTGCATTACCTTCTCATACCTCCTATAGCAGAAAGAGTGATAGTAAAAAATCGTAGTGGCGTGATTCGCACGCATCTCTCGAAAGACGGCAGCGTGTGTTCAATCCAAGCCCGATGCGGAAAGTTCTATATATCACTAGACAATACTGCATACATAGCTGTACACAGAACATTGCTAGTGTGTGAAAATACAAACAAAACTCGCCAATCTATCACCCACACAAGGGCGCGTGCTACCCTCACTACACCGCAAAGGCCACCGCTCCGCTAGCACTCTTTCGTCGATCAGCTGCCAGCGTATTGCGTTTTTTGTCGGCATGTGCCTACCCGACTTAAACCTACAAAGATTAGTTGCTGACAGCTCTAATAGGTTGTATCGAGAAAGAGTGCTAGCAAAGCGGTGGGTCTCGGTGGTGCAGTGGTGGTAACACGCGCCCCCGATATGGTTGAAACGTGGGGTTTAAGTCCCGCCTGGGATCGAATGTTTTGCCTACCACGCAGTATTCTTGGACTGTATTTTTAGGACATCTTAACAGTACTGATACACACTAAGTATAAAGGATTCGAGTAGAAAACTCATTAATACTCCTCATTTTCTCAAAAGGTTTGACACCGGTAGCTAAAGTCGCAGCTGTCTGGGCGGTTTTTGTACTACATTATCAAAATTGTACAAAGTTGAAGGAGATCTTAAACATATGGCAGTCCGTGAAGGTATCGTAGTAAACTCACTGTGATTTCTTTGACAACCTACCTCATATTTCAACGACGGAACTCGAATACGTGACCGCATTTCTTCAAGTCAAACAGAACCAGCTCGGCCGACATAGTACTCGCTGAAAACATAAGCGAAAATGAGAATTCTTCTTATTTGACTGCTTTCAACCGAGGGTATGATGTGACAGATATGCACGATGCTGTAGAGCGATGTGCAAAACTTTTGGGTCAGGCGGGACTCGAACCCGCATCTCACACGGTCCGGTAGCGCGTGCTCAAACCAGTTGCACTACTGACGCCCGTTTTGCCGTCATTCTTTCTACGCCACAACGCATCTATTTGCCAACAAACTGGGCCAAACCGTCGACGGTTAGTTGCTGGAATATAGGTGCGTTATAGCTTAGAAAGAACTGGTTTGAGCACGTGCTACCGCATAGAAGGAAATGCAGGTCCGCATCTCGCTTGACGCGGAAATTTTGCGCATCACTCTATATCACTGGCTACTCAAAGCTATTATATCATTCTATAAGCTTTGCACTGAAGCAACAAACATCAAATCTATTGAATAGAAGCACATTGGGCATTTTGTTGTGAACATTTTGGTACACAACTTGCCTATACAAAGTTTTGAGATGGAGCTGTCGTGGGAACAACTCACTTGCTGTTCATACACAAATGGCGCGGAGGGAAAAATGCCGGTGACACGGCGCACAAGCTTAATGGAGTTTGAAGCGATGATACGGTTGCAAAAAGGACAGCTAGGAAGTAGAGCGCGAATTCTAAAGTTGGAGCGAACGTCTGGCGGATCAGTCGTGCTCAAGCCTCCATAGGAAGCTCCATTGATCTTGCGCGCCGTTTCACTACCGTTTTCGGCTCTTTCTGATTTTAAGGGACAAATGGAAAACCCACCTAATTTGTTGGACAAGAACTTTTCATAAGAGTCTTATTAACCATTCAAAAGCTAAGGTTTCTGTCCATACTTCCATGTCGCCGGTTTTTAGAAACACTCGTTTATAACGCTCGCTATAAGGTCCAAAATAAAACTAGCCTCAGCTGCTCAAGTCTCTCTTCAGACAGTAATCTTTCCTTGAATTAATAATCATTAAAAAGCGTAATCATTTCTGAATCCAACGCTGCGTTTATATCCTGAAAAGGCCGCTTTTCTAAAACGCAGCAGGTGAAACTAGTTAGATTCCCATCTGTGACCAAGGTGGACTTTGACCAATTCACGTGCGCCTGGCGAGGTGGCCGAAAGACCTTGCACCGGTTTTACGACATCGCGTCAGGGCACGTGGTCGTCATAGCCAGCTGCAGGTGAATTAGCCAAAGACCCCTTGGTTGCACGTGCATTCAACTTGTTTTACCTCCTGCGTATCAGAAAAGCGGACTTTTCAGGATGTAAGCACAGCGTTGGAATCAGCAGCGATTACGTCATCGAATGATTACTAATAGTTTAAAGAACGAAAGAAATTTCCTTCCGTAGAAAAGTCAAAGAAAGGCTTACCGAAAACTGGCGACGTAGAGCTGCAGTTCGAAGTCTCAGCTTTCGAATGGTTTTTAATACACTCCTATGGAAAGTTCCTGTCCAGCGAATGAGGCCAACATTTTATTTGTCTCTTTATAACCAAAAAAAGCGCAATTTCCTCTACGCGCCACTCGTGCTAAAGTAGTAAGCCAATTTGTTCCCAAAACAGCTCCATCTTAAAGCTTTGTATAGGCAAGTTGTATATCAAAATGCTCGCAAGAAAATGCGCAATTGAACAATACCAAAATCATACAAATTTAGCTACTTTTAGTTGATAAATCTGGCATCTTTTGCTTCAGTGCCAAAACTTATGGAACGACCTGATATATCTACAAAATTTTTCTACGAGAATAAATCGTTTTAAACGAGAAAAAGTTTTAAATGCTTTTGGACGAATTATGCGTCGACTAGAGACGATATTTTCGAGCATTATAAGAGCGGTATTGTCCTCCTGTTTTCTTTCATTGAAGACGAAATTGGAGACGAGCCGAAAAAAAGAAACCTAAGAAAATCGAGTTCTTTCTGAATTCAAGGAAACAAATGAAGAACCGACCTCACTCGCTGGAGAAGAAGTTTTCACAGGAGTGATAGTAACCATTCGAAAGCTTAGATTTCTGATAAGAGCCGTACATGGTCGGTTCTCCAAAACATTTTTTTATAACGCTATGAAATCCACACAAAACTATGTCTCAGACGCGCAGATTTCTCGCTCGACAGAGCTCTTTCGGTGGACTACTAGTAATTCACTAACCAAGAAGCCAAGAAATCTCCTCCTGTAGAAACGCCAAGACGAGGATTTTCGAAAGCCGAAGACGTGGGCTGTAGCATAATGTCTCACAGCTCTGGAATGGCTACCAATGCTCCCATAAAAAATTCCTCGCCAGCCAATGAGATCGGTTTTCATTTGTTCCCTTATAATCAGAAAGAACCGAAAACCGAGATAAAGCTGCGGAAAGAGTTGAAATTGAAAGGAAAGCTTGAAATCACGGAAAAAATGGAGTCGAAAATCGAAAAGAAACTATCAAAAAAATTCAAACTGAAAGAAAATCAAAATAAAGTAGTCTAGAGAGCTAAAATCGAAGAAAAATCGAGAGGCAATTTCATCAAAAAGTTGAAATCCAAGAGAAAAATTAAACGAAATTTGTCGAGAAGAATTTTAAATAAGAAAACATCTTCGAAAACGTCGAATTACGAGGAAAGATAGAAAAAAAAACGAATGGAAAAAGATGAAAGTCGGAAAAGACGCTGAGAATCGTTCGATACCTTCTTCTAAACCATCTCAAAGCTTCCTCAGCAAGAAGCCCACGATTACGACCTTAGAAAGGTCCGTTTTCTAGCCCAGCAACAGACTGTCTGGATGGATCCGTGGGAACAAATCAATGAGGAATATCGACCACCCACGATTTCTAGTAGTTTTCTGTCGATTTCCGCATTCTGTCCGTCGTTGTCCCCAAGCGGGAATTTTACTTGCGTACATTACACTCAATTTGTCGTCTATACAACTCCTCAATCAGTTACAGTTACTCCCTTGTACTTTCTTGTTAAGGGAGTTTTTGGGCATACTATTACATGTATATATTACATATACGTAATTATGCATGATTATGTATATCGTTTATATACGTACACTGCAATTATATATGTATATACATGTATATATGCGTATATATGTATGTATATGTACATATATGTATATATATGTATGTATATCATGTATATAGGTATATGTATATCAGATCGTTCCATAAGTTTTGGCTTCAGGGCAATAAGCCCCAAAATTATTAGCGAGAAGTAATCAAAATTGTATGATTTTGGTGTCGTTCAAATGCGTATTTTCTCGCAAACATTTTGGTATACAACTTGCCCATACTTGATCTGAGGTGAAGCTGTCTTGGGAACAAATTCGCTTGTTACGCACGCACGAATGACGCGTGAGGGAAAATGCTGCTGAAGCGGAGCTCAAGATTTATCCTATAGAGACGGCAGCTGATCGATCGCACCCGCGCAACTCGCAAGGGGTGCGCGGGTGCGATCGATCAACTGGGGTTTTTTCTCCATTCAAAAAAGCAAAACCTTTCTGTGTCCCTCTGATCTACATAATTTCCTTTACATGGTCATACGTTTTTCGTGCATATATAACTTTTCTGTACAATGAAAACTTTGAATAGAAACGTAGCCGTCTTATCGCTCTTAAAGCATTCTATGATAAACTTTCAGAAAATCACTTACAATATCAAATTCCTCGAGATTTGAGCTATCGAATGACTAGTAAAAATTTCACGAAGAACCATATACAAGCCTGAGCCGAGCAATTAAAGAAAACTGACTCTGAAACATAATTTTATATTCGTTGCTGAAACGTGATAAAAAGGCTTTTTCAAAAACACTATATATCAATGAAATCTGCACAGATTCAAACTGCTGAACGATTACCATCTTTGAGAAGAAGAAAGTTTGTGTAGCGAGAAAGGCTTTCAAACAATCGTGTACCTCAGCTGGTACACGTCGTCCCATAGGAGCTAACAAAGCTTCCTGTTGACGGCCCGAGCGCGCTTAATCCTCCGGACTGTTCTCTCGAGTTCTGAACTTCGCGAACCTGACCAACCTTTTCTGCAACCGTATCACTCCTCAAGCTCCACGAAGTTCAAAGCTTGAGGGAACATTCTAGAGGACTAGTCACTTTTGAGCCGTCCACAGGAAGCTTCATTAATCTTGTACGTTGCTTCACTAGCATTTTCCCTTACGCACCATTCGTGCATGAGTAGCAAGCGAATTTGTACCTAAGACAGCTCCATCTTAGAGCAAATATGGGCAAGTTATATACCAACGTGTTCGCAAGAAAATACGCAAGTGAATGATATCAATATCATGCTATTTTAATCAGTTTTGTCCAATAAAGACATTTATTGCTTGTTGGTCTTGCTTCATGGCATATAATCTTCTTCACTAGGTCACTGGTTCCACCATTATCCTCTCAATGGAGAAAATCATCTCTCCTTTTGATAAAGTTGTGTCTATAAATTCATGAAGTTCGCTCAACCTTTCGTGTACGGCAGATCGATTTCTGCATCGGCGTGCGGTATTCGTTATTTAATGAGGCTTTTTTTTCTTTGATTTGCGAAACATTCTTGGGTTTTTTGTATTGATATGATGCTCTATAATATACTCTACAAACTCATACACTTTTTATTCATAGAAATATCTCTTATGCACGAAGAAAACTGCAGGTGTAAAACGAAA